AATGCAATCTTCAGGAGTGAGAGAATACAGGGATTGTGTGAGTATATGAATGCTAACACAGGTGAAAATGCAAATGAGTTAATTGTTTTTAAGTAGGTATTTGTTGCTGTGCCTGCATTTAGACAATAGCTCGGTTCTTTTGTTTAGTGTTGACTGTTTATCTGAATATATTATGTGAAGTTTCTCGGTTATGCACAGGTTGCAGCGTTTTGTTTTTGGGGAGTAAGCCGATGCTCTGTCGTTGATACACCATTTAATGTTGTAGGGTGTGTTGCTATCTTTTAATTTCCATACGTATTTGGAGAGTACGGTGCTGTTTCTGTGTTTGGGGGTGTTAAAAGTGTATTTGTGGTTTGTGTATCGGGTTTTGAACGGTGTGTCAGTGAGCCCGATGTAGCATTTTTTGCTAAGCAACAACAGCCAAAAACTCTCTGCAATTGCAGGAAAAAAGATGAATGTCCACTCTCTGGAAATTGCCTCACCTCATCCATCATCTACAAAGCCACTGTCTACATACATACATAATGTATATACAGTACTGGTAAATCATATAAAAGTAACTTTGGTACTGAAACACACCTGTTAATTTAAATTATAATAACTGAATCAATTACACCTAAAATTTGTTATAAATACAGCATTTTCATGTGACGAAAATCGGCTGTTTTTGTTAAGCGACTGTGCCTCAAAACCGAGTGTGCTTCAAAAATCGACTATGTTCGAAAGTTACCTTTTTGGTGTTCCACATAAAATCCGGATGCAGAAGTACGTAGCATAATGTTGTTTTTTGGCGTTCCCTAAAATACGGTACTACAATGTAAACACGCCATCGGGAGAAGCATGTCGACTCGAGCTCCAGTAAACGACAAGACGTAACAATGAAAATTTGTCATTAGTCATTATTTTCCCTCAAAAGCTGAAATATGGGATTGTGTTCACTTCGTGAGCTGAAGACTTTGATGATCTATGTTGTTACAGTTTTTACAGACCGGTGTGTTTTGAATCCGCAACGGTGTCTGACGTCACTTTAGTGCATTACTGTGTCTATAGCCTTTGAAATAAGCAAAATTTTGATATAGATGGACACATTAAATGCATAATATTCACCACCACATTTATCCATGAGTTGTCTAGGTGAAATACGGTAAGCTGGACGTTAGGGTTCTAAGCCCAATGATATATTTCCGTAGAATTTGTGTGTATTTCCGTCTGTAATTAGGCCAACCTTCTTTTAGTGGCCATGATTTTTTTGTTCTATATTATCAAAATTAATCGCGATGTTTAGCATACTGGAGGGTAAGCGAGCGAAGCGAGCGCACTCTATAGTTTACAGAAGATGGGTTCTTTGCTTGTAGTGCAACATTATCAAGTGTTGGAAAAAAGATGACGTCACGATTGACGATTAATTTTAAATTTAACAGATTAAATAAGTATAATTTCTCTTCTTCGATCTGGTTCTAGTGTTAATAAGATGATGCTTAGAAGTAAACGTACATGTGGGGCATGACAGTCATCGTTGAGAATACCGTATAGGTAAAATGTTGAATTCTGAATTTCTAACACAAACAGTAATATAAATTACATAAAAAACGTTTTATTTATTTATTTAATAATCACCCGAACAAGTAAATGTTTTCAATCTTCAATACCCGTTATGTTGCATATATTAAATTTTTCAATTTGTCAAATGGAATAACAATTGAAATAACATGGTACGCTTCTCTGCTTTACATGATTATTTATAATCATAGTTATAATAAAGGTATCGCCAATAAACTGAAGTAAAGTTGATTCCAAATAAAAAATAAATCACTTTATTTGTGAAGGTCATTAACAATATATATTTCACAACAGTGGCATTATAGCATTGTCGCTAGTCGTTATCTTGTTTTCTAATAATAATAATAATATTAATAATAATAATAATACATTTTAACTATTTTAAAATCTAGCAGTAGCAGCAGCAGCAGCAGTAGACGTAGCAGTATCCCTTCATCGACAAGAAGTCATCAGTGGCATGATCAATACATTAAAAACTGAAGCTGTTTTCCTATCAGGGCTGGCGCCAGGTTTTGTCTGACGTGGGGTCCGAGGTCCCCGACGTAGGGGAGGGGGGACGATTCCCCCGACTTGGGAGAAGATTTACCCGGCTAGAGCAAGTGGGCGTTGTCGAGCGTCGCTTAAAATGTTGCAAAAGTGGTCCAGGGTGCGAAGCCCCCGAACATTTTCACAAATTAAGGGTTCCAAAGGCTTATTTAATTGATTTTATAGCCTACTAATATGAAGGAAAAAAAATTATTCTCCTCGACGACTTGTGGTTTTTCTCCCCAAATAGGGGACCCTGACCCCCCCCCCCCACATACCCCCCCCCCACCCTTCCTATCAATTAAAGAAATTAAAACAAGAGCAATAATTCATGATGCCGTGGCGTATACAAGAACAAAACACACAACATAATTTATGGACGTCTTACGTTTTAGCACCTTACACGACACAACAGGTTTGTACTATTCATACCCTATCCCCTAAAGTATGGTTTAACGAAGGGTTTAATGTCTGCACAACACACTGAAGCTTTTTCCAGACGACGAATATGCTAAAGCAAAGGTAAACTGTTAATTCGACCCGAAAAATACGCCAGGCATACGTTAATCCATGGCGTAATAGCGAGATGTCCAGACTGATTTCGGATTTGCGGTTACTAATAACGTTTCATCGACGTGAAATTTGATAACCGGCGTTGTGTAGAAAACGGCAAGGTGAAGTTTTGTTTTGCTAAACTGCGCATGATTGATAAACACACTTGGCATGTTTTGGAGGCCATTTATTTACTAAGAGCATGCAAGAGCTAGGCCTAGGGCGCGGGCTATTTAAGCAATTTTATTAAACTACACAAAATAAGTAGAATTTCTATTAATATGGTTTACTAGGCTTGAAGCTCCCCAAGGCGTTTGCTCACAAAATTCACACCACTCGATTAACGTTACGCTAGCGTAACTCGTTGTGCCTGAACATGCCTCAGACTACAACATAATTGAATAAAAGGCAGAAAAACTAGATATTAAGTACATTGAACTAATTATCAAAATGAAAATGTTATGGAATTAAAACAAAGTGTAAAAATAAGATTTACATATTCAACAGCCAACCAATATTATGGTTGCTTTGAGCTGAAAAAAAATCACATTACAGTATCGGGAAGCAGTGAAACAGATCATTATTTCTGCAGGAAAATTGTTGATTATTATCATAATTATTGTAATTATTATTATTATTATTATTATTTGGAAACGACACTTTTACAACAGTGACATTCGTGCGTAACGGTGCGTCCAAAGAAAAACATAATTTTCTAGATTTAAAAATGTTCAGTTTATTAGCCTTCTGAGTGTCTTGGTACATATGATCTTGTACACGTACAGAGTAGGAGATTTTCTCCAGGGGTACACTGCTCAATTTACCACTAGGAGGACACCACCATTTGAAACATGACTTCGAACTAGTAGGTTATCTTTAGTGTGATTCACTCCAACATTAATCCTACATATTCTATTTTCTTAAGCATGATAAGTTTTCAATAGCTGCTTTTAAAAGCCACGATATTTGTTACTTTATGATCAAGGATTTTCTGTTTCATAATAGCACGAGCATTCCATGTTTTTAAGCTGTCGGGAGAGTTTATCCATTAGCCTTACCTGTGTAAATAATGATACTGCTTTTGGATTGCAGCTTTAGCATTTGGTAGAATATAGAAGCAATTATGATAAAAGCATGTAAGTAGACGAATATTTGGAAATCAGGAGGAAACTGCTAAAGATATTAAATTAGACAATCAATGAACTCATATTTAGAAAAAGGACTACAGAGATAATGAATAACTCATTGAAAATCGAAAGAAATTATGACGAAGCCGCGGCAACGATGAGAATGTACAGACAAGTATTAGGGAAAAAGTGGAAAGTGAAATTAGACGGTTAAGAAGGATGGTAGTAAAATATCTTAGAATGTTTGGATAAAAAACAAAAAAACAAAAATTGAAATCACGAAAGATACTTTTAACAGAAGTTAGCAATTAGGCCTACACTAAGAATAAGCAGAAAATTGAAAATTAAATTGAAATTATTGGAACAGCTATAATGAGTGTTTTCATCAGGGAACAGTTACTGTTCCCTGGTTTACATGGATCAGAAAAAACCCTGATTGCAACCATGTGTATATGAGGAAAGAAGAAGATAAGTTCGAAAGACAAAACATAACAAATGACAATGCATTAGACACACAGACAATGCAACCTTTCTACATCAATTTTCTAGGACCATTGCTCATATAAATTCAAATATATTTCCTCGTGTGTGTACCAACTCCCTGCTGATGTGAGGAACTTTGTAGTACTGAAATCTTTTCCCAGCTCTCTCGTGTTCATAACTTTCTCTCTGATCAAGATTTCTAAATTCTACGTTTTTATTTATTTATTTATTATTTTGCATCTACTCACATTGTTTAACTGTAACTTAATACTTATTGCTTGTTCGAATTTAATTATTATATTGTTAATTTTATATAAACATATTGGAGATTTCTAATTATTCATTATTATCACCACTTTATTAGTTTTTTTTCTTCTTGTTGTTTGTTAATCCTTTTCACTGCTATTACCAATTTTAAAACAATATTACCTAAATTCATTGAACTTAATCTTATAAATATTTTATCATTAACAACTGATCTTTAAAATATTTAATTTCGGCTACTCCAAAAACCATAGTTTAGATATAAAAACTGTTACAAAGTAGTTGAATATAGGAGTTGTTTTTAAATTTTAAAAAATTGCCGTCCATTTTTATATTATCATGTGCAGTAGGCCCATGGTACCGGTACAGTATATGATCTGTCTCTTATACACATCTAGATGTGTATAAGAGACAGATTTTATAGCCTACTAATATGAAGGAAAAAAAATTATTCTCCTCGACGACTTGTGGTTTTTCTCCCCAAATAGGGGACCCTGACCCCCCCCCCCCACTAGCGCCGCCCC